CAAGCACAACACATGTTACTAAAAACAACACTCATAAACACAAATAACTCACTCACTATGCATAATATGTTAACCTAAACAATTGAACAAGAAGCACTCATTAGAAGCAGAGAGATCTATCGAACCTGTAACATCTGCATCAACTTTGGATGTTGCTCCAGAAGCTGACAGAGTTTGTCCCGGTCACTCAAAAGAGACTGCGGTTCAAGAAAATTCAACGATCACAACACATCCCACAATGCAATTAACAGACGTGACAAAAAAAAAAAGTACCTGAATAGCTTCAGGTGACCTAAAAAAATCTTGTAGAGACATCCCTGAATCTTGTGGCTGGGACGTTGATCCCCCAGATGTCTGCTGGGGCAGAGAATGTGATGTGCTCTCCTGTGGTGGGGTTTGATAGTATGCATGTGCAGGTGACACCTGGGGCTGCTGTACCACCTGAGACGGTTGAGTTGGAATTTGTAACGAGGCTTGCAATAAAGATACCCCCTGATCGGGCTGTGAGGACTGAACAGGTGGCCTGAGGTGCTGAGGTGGAGGTCGAGAGATTTGTGGCGGCTGCAAGGGCTGTAACTGAGTAAGATTCGGTATGGGGTGAAGTGAAGGCAGGGACACCGGAAGATTTTGGGGGATGCTGGGTAAGTTGTCCCCTGGATGTGGAACTAAGTTGCTGGCATAAAGGTTAACAGGCATGGAGCCGGGTCGGAAAAGCAGACGCTGGGCCGAGGCCTGCTGAAGGTCGGTGGTGTTGCGGACGGTTGGGAAATACTGTGGGGATGGCGAGGCGGAGTTCTTCAGTGAAGAGTTTGAGGAATAAGGGGGTGGGGTAGGAGGGAGTGGAGGAGGCGGTCTGGTGGTGGGCCCCAAAGGGGAAGAGAGAGATTGACGTCCGAATTTCATATCAGGCATTGAGGTTGAGATTGCCGGCGATGATGAACTGCTTGTCATGGAAGACATGTACTCTGACGGAACCTGTGATGCAAGGATTAAATGATCAGTTCGTTCATTTTGAAAATTAATTACAAAAAGTACCCAAGCAAACAACTCAACAAACCCACTGACAATTTCAACAATTAGGTAAAACCTCAAGGGCGGTTTTATAATTATTCTTACAAAATATTAACAAAAAAAGTATTTAAAATAAATTAATAAATAGAGACCAAAATGCATCTACCCACATGGTATCCCGGTAGAAACTGAGCTGGCGCCATAACAGGATCCATATTCTGAGACATCACAGGCGAGACAGTTGGGGGAGGCGGCATTGGGGGCAGGGGAGGTTGACTCAAAGGAAACTTGTGGTCATAGAAAACCCCAAACCCCGTGGAGCCCACCGCAACAGGCCCGCTTTGCTGCACAGATGCCTTGTTGGGGTACAAGTTCGGCTGCGGCGGCACCCGCGAGTCAACAGGGAACCTACTTGAAGAACCAGACGAATCAATCGTCCTGGGAGGTCCGATCGGTAGACTCTT